GTACAATTAAGATGGAACTGGGAACAGATGAAGTCATCAAAGCAATACAAAACATACTTTTGATGCCAGCCTTTCTCTTCTGGTCTAATTTAGTTATTATTGTAGAAGAGCTTATTCTCCATAGAAAACTACTACTCATCCAGACCATATAGTGAAAAAAAATATTAAAAACTGGAATAATAGCAGAATATTTCATTTTATAAAAATGTGTACTCCTTAAAATAGTGTCTGCGTGTTCCTTTTTTTTTCCCTTTTTAAAATGCACTCTCACTTAAAAAAGCATTTACACAGTGGAATACAACTCAATTGTAAAAAAAGAAAAAAACCTCAAAATTATTAAATATGCAGATAAATGGATGGAACTGGAAAAAAATATACCAAGTGAGGTCACCCTGGCCAATAAGGCAAGCTGTGAGCATTCAACCTCAACTGTGGATTCAGCTTGACATCTTTTGTTTTGTGTGTTTCACAGGAGAATGCAAATGGAAGCAGGACACTGGAAAGGAGCCTGTGGGGGTACTGTAAGAGAGGAACTCTAGATGAAAGGTTACCAAATTCTGGAGGTGAAAAGCTCAAAGCAGGAAGGGCTGTGGGGGTATAGTGAAAATCAGGAGAGGGAGGGGAGGGAAAACCCAAAAAAGAATATATGAAAACCCACATGCAAACCTACTCTTTCACATATAATTAAAAAAAAAACAATAAAAAACAAAACAAACAAACAGAAAAACAACAACAACTGAAGGGATTAGTACATGTGAAGTAAAAGAAAAAGGGGAACGGAGGGTTAAAAGATGAAGCGGGGATGACAGCAGCAGGGGGATGGCAGAGGAGGGAGTAATGTGTGGATTCAATGGTTTACCCAGTATTGGACCCTGTATACAGCAATCTGGACCTTCCAGGCAAGGTATGCCCATGGATGCAGTAGTGACATGAGGGTTTGAATGAGGATGGCCAAGGCCACACAGAGAAACCCTGTCACTAAAAACCAAAGATGAATGGCCGCCACAGGCTCATATATTTGAATGCTTAGCCATAGGGGAGTGGCCTACTTCAGAAGGATAGGTGGGTGTGTCCTTTTTTGTGTGTGTGGCGTGGCTGGAGGAAGTGTGTCACTGGGGGTGAGCCACGCAAGAGTCTCTCCTCCTGCTGCCTGCAGATCCAGATAGAGAACTTTCAGCTATATTTCCAGCACCATGTCTGCTTGTGTGCCACCATGGCCCCCATCACAATACTGGACTAAGGCTCTGAAACTGTAAGCAAGCCCCAAGTGCTTTCTCTCGTAAGAGTTCGGTTTGTAATAGCGTCTCTTCACAGCAACACTGACCAAGACATGAGGCAAATAACTTTCTGACTGAATGTGAGGCCTGCTCCACAAGAATTTCATGCCTAGCATTGTAGACCTGCACAAAATCTCACGGCTGGGGAGAACAAAGACCCTTGGCTGCTCTCAATGTTGGCTACAGAAGCTTCTTTTTGCACTCAGGGGGGAGAAGCACAATTGGTCACAGTGCTGAGAATAAAGACTATTTTATTCAGCGCTCAGCTCTAAATGAGATGGGTGTTTAGGCAGAAACCATGTAAAGCCAGAGGATGGGAAGCATCTTCTCCTAGACATGGCATGACTACTGCAGGCATACATTCACAGCCGCTATCTTTACCTGGACAAAATCAAGCCCCCCAAAATTCTGGCACAGATGGGGTAGATCACTTCTCTCCAGGCCTCGCCCCTCACTGAGGAGCCACTGGCAGTTGATAGTTGCTGGGAGAGAAAGGAAGAGTCCCTCTTTTTCTCAGGGTGTGGTCACTGATAGGAATCCCACGCTCCAGTGGATGGCCCCACATGCATGCACACACGGGCAGGACTAGACATAGCGGGTCATAAAAAAAGATGCAGTTGGGATGTGGATGTGTTGAGGGAATCAAGGGAGGAAATTGGGGAAATATGATCATATTTTATTTTATAGACGTGTGAAATTCTCAAGAACAAAAAATGTTCTAAAAATATTTTCCAGTCAAGAACTACGCTGAGGGAGATACACTAAAATAATCTTCTACAATAAAAGATCTTCTGGAGGTCTCTCCATCCCTGATCTCAAGTTGTACTATAGAGCAACAACAATAAAAACTGTATGGTACTGGCACAGATACAGCCTGGTGGATCAATGGAATCGAATAGAAGACCCAGAAATAAACTCACACACTTTGACAAAGATGCCAAAATCATACAATGGAAAAAAAAGACAGCATCTTCAACAAATGGTGCTGGTCTAACTGGATGTCTACATGTAGAAAAATGAAAATAGATCCATATTTATCACCCTGCACAAACTCAAGTCCAAGTGGATCAAAGACCTCAATATAAAACCAAACACACTAAATCTGTTAGAAGAAAAAGTGGGGAAGAGCCTTGAACTCATTGGCAGAGGAGAAAACTTCCTAAACAGAAGACCAACAGCACAGGCTCTAAGATCAACAATTAATAAATGGGACCTCATGAAACTGAAAAGCTTTTGTAAAGCAAAGGACACTGTCGTCAGAATAAAACAACAGCCTACAGATTGGGAAAGGATCTTCATCAACCCTATAGCTGACAAAGGGCTAATATCCAGACTATATATAAAGATCTCAAGATGTTAAACAAAAAATTAAGTAATCCAATTAAAAAATGGGGTACACAGCTAAACAGAGAATTCTCTGTAGAGGAACATCGAATGACAGAGAAACACTTAAAGAAATGTTCAACATCCTTAGTCATCAGGGAAATGCAAATCAAAAGGATACTGAGATTTCACCTTACACCCATCAGAATGGCTAAGATCAAAAACTCAAGTGACAACACATGCTGGAGAGGATGTGGAGAAAGGAAAACCCTCCTCCATTGCTGGTGGGAATGTAAACTTGTACAACCACTTTGGAAATCAATCTGGCACTTTCTCAGACAATTGGGAATAGTGCTACCTCAAGGGCCAGCTACACCCCTCCTAGGCATATATCCAAAATATGCACAAGTATACAACATGGACATTTGTTCAACCATGTTCATTATTTATTTGTAATAGCCAGAAGCTGGAAACAACCCAGATGTCTCTCAGTTGAGGAATGGATACAGAAATTGTGGTACATTTACACAATGAAATACTACTCAGCAATTAAAAACAAGGAAATCATGAAATTTGCAGGCAAATGGTAGGAACTAGGAAAGATCATCCTGAGTGAGGTATCCCAGAAGGAGAAACACACACATGGTATATGCTCACTTATAAGTAGATATAAGACATATAATATAGGATAAACATATGAAAATCTGTACACCTAAAGAAGCTAAGCAAGAAGGACCCTGGGTAAGATGCTCAATCCTCATTCAGAAAGGCAAACAGAACAGACATTGGAAGAGAGTGAAAACAAGGAACAAGACAGGAGCCTACCATAGAGGGCCTCTGAAAGACTCTACTCAGTAGGTTATTAAGGCAGATGCTGAGAGTCATAGCCAAACTTCGGGCAGAGTGCAGGGAATCTTATGGAAGAAGGGGGAGATAGAAAGCCCTGGAGAATACTGGAGCTCCACAAGGAAAGCAACACATCCAAAAAATCTGGACACAGGGGTCTTTTCTGAGACTGATATTCCAATCCAGGACTATGCATGGAGACAATCTAGAACCTCTGCACAGATGTATCCCATGGAAGTTCAGTGTCCAAGTAAGGGGAACAGGGACTGTCTCTGAAATGAACTCAGTGGCTGGCTCTTTGATCATCTCCCCCTGGGGGTGGTGGTGCAGCCTTACTAGTCCACAGAGAAAAAAATGCATACAGTCCTGATGAGACCCGATAAGCTAGGGTCAGAGGGAAGGGAAGGAGGACCTCCCCTATTAGTGGACTGGGGAAGGGGCATGGGAGAAGAAGGAGGGAGAGTGGGATTGGGAGGGGACAAGAGAGAAGGCTACAGCTGGGATACAAAATGAATAAATTGTAATAAATAAAAACATTTAAAAAGCATTTTCCTATAATTTCTTATCCTGAAATATTTTAATAAGTAAGTTCTATCAATAAAACTGAGCCTCACAAGACAGCCTACGTACTGCCATGTTTTCCTTATAAAGATCCTCAAGGACCTGGTTAAAGCAGTCAGGCTGCATGGTGAGTGGAAGCCTGTAGTTTCAGATACTGCCTGGTATGACGCAGTGGGCCACAGCCCAGGCCTTAGGCTCACACAGTCACAGCTTAGAAACAACTGTGAAACATCAGGACTCTTACTTAAAATGTAAATCTATTCACAATTTGCATATTTACATTATAAAATGTTTCTTATCCAATATAACACATAAAGAAATATAATTCATAATTTACACTTACCCAAGTCACAGATTTTCTCATACTGAAATAACTGTGTGACATAATGCATCTCCCTGGTTTAAATAAACAATGCAGTCATTACTCTCCTGTAATCTGCAATGCCTTGTGAGAATTTTGTTGAAAGTATAGAGAGATGATATATGATTATAATCTTGAGAAAAATTAAAAAGCTTGAGGTCATAATTTTTCACTAAGAAATGTTTCAGTCTTTTCTCAAAGAGGATATAAAGTGTAACAAAGACCTTTTTTTTTTTAACTTTTAAAACAATTTTGTGGCAGTTCTAGAAAAATATTTCTGTCTTGGGCAGCAGGACACACTCTCTAAGATGGTTAGGCAGCTCCTGCTTACCCTCTAGTTCGACCTAGGAAGAAAAGGGTAACTTCCCCAGTGAGTGTGGACAATGCACAACCAGGAGCAAATGTACAAGACCTACACAAGTGCTTAGAAGGAGAAAACAAAACTCGTAAAGTAAACCGTGGTCATCTTTAAGGGCAACTTTCACAGAACCGAAGGGCTTAGGTAAGTGTGTTTCATTTCTACGCAAATGACACACTGTGAAGGCAGTGGGGCGGATTATAGAGTTCTCCTGTAGCATGTATTATGCGCCACGAACAGAAACTGTGTCCGGGTCACTCCAAGAGATACTCACAGAAGGGTTGTAAGAAGGTTCCAGTATCACCGGTAACGACATTTTCCCTTGAAGATTCAATTTTGTTAAATAGAAAATCTTTTCCCCCACAATCTTTTCTTTCTTCATGCGATGGACACCGTATAATCTAAACCTAACTGCATAGTTTCCAATCATCTCTGATTCAACGTGGTTAAATTTGAATGTTTCTGTGAAGACAGGGCATGGTCCTCTCTGGATGCTGGTTTTGGCTCTCTGCTTCTTTATAGGTAGAAGAACAAGGTGCACCTGCCACGAGTTGCCACCTGTCCTGTTATATGTCGGAATGTCTGTGACAGCTGTCACCGTCACCAGAAGCTTCTGTGTCTGTGAGTCATAGTCAAAAGTCACATCCAGTGTGCCATATTTAGCTTCCGGCTCTGGATCAAAAGGTTTAGGAAGCTGTGAGGAGGATCCTTGAGCTGACATGTCCTAAGAAAAGCAAATTTAAATGTTTTCAGTTTTTAACTATTATTTAAACAAGCATGTAAATAAATGTCAATTTCTTTTAGAGCATCATATCAAATAATTTTCATTTGCTGGCATGAAGAAAGCATAAGTATCAGTCACTACAAGCAAAAATTACCTTACAGGACAGAGTAATTTAAATGGTAAAATACCTCACAATGGAGACATCTTTCAAGTGCAATATTCACAGTTTTGAGAAAATTGGATGTATATTTGTATAAATTAGACTTTAATGTACATATTAATATTATAGTCTTTGCTTCTGGGGGAGAAGTCTACAGAAAGGAACAAAGTTCAATGCTACAGAAAAATGTAGCTCCATTTTCAGGGATGTCAAAGATGGCTCCATCTAAAATAGAATATATACAGTAAAACTTTAGAATCAGTGTAATTGGGAAACCCGAATAGAAATGTGCATCCAAATACTTACTCTGCATATCCCAGACCACATTCTGTGGTCTGTGCATCCAAAAACATATAGAAATATATATAGAAACCTGAAGAGAAATGTACATCCAAATACTTACTCTGCATATCACAGACCACATTCATTTCAATCTTCAACTAGAAATCAAAACAACTGTATTTTTTCACATTACTTGTCAATGGCATAGTAAAATTCACATTTCAAAAACTGAAGAAAGGTTAAAACTGTACATTATGACAAAGTCAGAAACTAAGACCATTTTACCAGCAACTGTCCCAAATTCCAGCTAGTCTGAGATGCCTGGGGATCTTACCTAGTTACTGACAATGCCTAAACTAGGGTTCTGACCTATGAGCTACACATTTTGACCCTAAAAGTATTTAATAAAATATAAATGATTTCATTTTGAAATTTGTGCTTCTGTTAGAATGTTCCAAAGCTTTCTAACCTTCAGTTCAGTGCTACCATAGAACTGAAGAGTGCTGGCCTTGGTCTCTCTTCTCCTCTTAGCTCAAAGGAGCATCCTGAGTTCCAGTCTGTGACACCCTACCCGGAGAGCAGACTATACCCCAGAGTCTGTCTAGATGTGCTTTTGTTCAGCTTAGGCAGATGGAGGCACACAGAGCTCCTGTGAGGAAGATCTAGCTCAACTTTACAACCGAAGTGCTTGCTTTCCATTCTCTTTCCACAGGCAGGCTCATGTCTGTCTGCACCAAAAGGACAAGGACAATGCTCTAGGGAATGGTAGACTGACATAAGGAGCTGGGCCCTGGATGAGGCCATTATGCAAACTGTTGCTTATCTAGAATGTTGAGTGAAAGAGAAACGAGCTTCTGTTTTTCAGTCATCTTAGCAGTATGTGCTAAGCCCTATGTTAGCTAGACTGAAGGAAAAGCCTCTTCTTTAAGCAGAAAACAACAAAAGACAGGAGCCTCTGGCATTGTAAGTCTTATGCAGTCCTTGATATCACAGATGGAAACCAGCAATACATTTCTGTTTCTTTTGTACTCTATGAAATGAAAACAGTGAGATTAATTTGAAAGGCTTGTGAAACACTGAATAATAATCCCTTAACAGTAAAAACTCCAAAATAAAGTGATAATAAAAAGCATGAAACATTAACTTCAACATGAGCGAACAGGAAAATAATTGTGAAGTATTTAGGAAACAAGGTGACCCTCAGCCAGCCCTTCTGTTAGGGAAGGGTGTAGGCTGCAGCAGCCTTGGGACTTTGTTAGACGGCAGGTGAGAAGCTGGGGGCTGAGACTCTGGTGAGACGGCATTGTCAGGAGGAAAGCACAGGTCGTCACCTTCAGAGAGCACTCAGCGGCAGCCATGGGCTCTTCTGCTTACCTCAGGGCTAAGGACTGCAGTGCTGTCGCTAGGGACATCATCTTCCAAGCCTTTATTATGGAAGCTCTCTGCCTCATGACCTGTGCTCCCTTCGCTGGGACACTTGCTGAAAGAACGCCGTGGGCTGTTGCTGCAGTGGGAAATCTCACACTTCCCATCTCCGATTTCAGAGGGTGTGCACGAGAGGTGAGGAGAACCACTGTCATCTTGGTAAGGCGGTGGCTGCAGCTCATCCAATGGCGGTGTCCTTCTCATTCTCTGAATGCAGTTTCCTGACAAAGACAAGAGTGTGGTCACTGCTTCCCATTAGCCTCCATCCAAGTGACTATAATTAATAACTTCAAAACATGAAGTCAACATTCAGCAAAACCAGTTAAAACTCTTAAAATCCCTAAGTGAGTTTTCTCTCTCAGTCGAGGCGCAGAAATACGACCACCCAGTTCTCTACTCTCTTCTCACCCAATAATTTCAGGAGGAATAAAAGCCATATATTGTTCTGAACCATACAAACAAACCCCATCAAAACTGTTTACTTGATTCTCTCTCCGTAAACATTCCCAAATGCGGTATATAACTCATGAATTCCCTTGTGATCAGTGTCCTCTCCAGGGGCCATGAAAGCATGGGTAAACACAAGCACTCCATCACTCTCTCAGTTATGGGGATAAACTCGAATCAGCATTCACCTTAGAACTTTTCCACATCTGCTTGGTTTGAGAACCCTAAAGGAGCCACACTCAATCCCTGCTTACTGGTCTGTAAGTCTGACTGACTGCCCAGCTCTTCCTGGTCCAGAGTAAGAACCACCACGTCCAGCAGTGATAGGAAGCCACATTTTCTCCCCCTCTGAAATCATGTTCTTGTGGAGAGCTGCTTGTTTGTCAGGCTGCTTAGCTATTGAGCTCTCAGTGAAAAACAGGTTCTCACCCTGGCCTTCACCTGGAGACAGGGATAGACAGGATGTTTCTGCCAAGTTCATTTCCTTGTGTTTGTATGAGGATCACACAGACAGGTGGTCCAGGTAAATAAGTTTGACTTCTGCATGAACACATTCATTGTATCAAGGTGCTCTGCTCTATAAAAAGGATTATTGGAATAAACCAGTGTGTGCCAGTTTGACTGGATGCTCTCTCAAACAGAACCCACCTGTAGTGTGTTGGTTTATTAATTTTTCTTTCAGTCCTCACTCCCCACTCAAGAACTGTTTGACTCTGCCAGCCAGCTCCAGCATCTTCTAAAATTTTTGTTTCAACAATCTGCCTCCATCTTTAGTTGAGACTAAAAGATGTATGAAAATGGATAAGGATTCACATATAGTACACTCTTTTTTTTTTTGGAAGAAAATGCATGGTCCCAAAGTTTACAGTAAAGAAAATAGCAGCACCTGCATCAAATGACCACTAGGTCAGGCTGTGTGTCCCCTGAGGAAATACTACAAACACACCTCAGAAAGTAAAATACCTTCAAAAAAGAACCAACCAATGATAAAAACAGGCCCCGAAAGACAAAGGAAATTCACACAGTCTAGTACTAACTACAAAGACCCCAAACAAAACAACAACAACAAAACAACCTCAGATTTTAAAAGCTCCCGATGGGCTCATTTGGCTTCCTTAGTGAACTAACCATTGAAGAAAGACCAATCTTCCACAAAATATTCCAGATAACATTAAAGACAGATGATTGTCGAAATTATTTTACGATATCATCAAAACATAAAAAAAAAAAATTAAAAAGATCATCAAAATGTGACACCAGGATTAAAAAATAAATCTTTCAAGGAGAAACAAAGTATTAGCTAATCCATCTTGTAAAGGCAGATATAAATTATTATATTCAAAATACTTGCACTGAAAAACCCACAGCCATAGACAGCACCGTATCAAAGCATCTTGACTAAAGCTGAGAAGAATGCTGTGTTCTAAGTGAATTTAACATTCAAAATTTAGCCAATCAAATTTAGTGTACAGAAAAAAATAAACGTTAAAAAGCAATATATTAACTATAATTTCAAAAAGCACTTGGTAAAATTCATTACCTATTCATGATAAAATCTCTGAGCAAATTAAGAAGGAACTTCCCCCTCTATTTTACAGAGTCCACAAGTCCTATAACAAATATCATATTTGATGGTGAAAGGTTGAAAGCTTTACCTCAGAGCTCAGGAATGATACAAGGGTACCTGTTAGCACTACTTCTATTCAACAATGCACTGGAGGTCTTTTCTAGCCAATGCAATTAGGCAGGATAAAGAAGGTTGAAAATGAATGGAAAGAAATAAAACTGTGAGTAATTTCAGGTAACTATCATGACATAAAACAAAAAGACAAGAAAAAGACAGGGAGGAGGAAGGACTTATAATACTAGGTAAGTGAAAAGGCAACTAAATTTTTACACACACACACAAAGGACAATTGAAAAGTAAAAGTTGAAAGCAATCTCATACTTCATAACACCGGAAAACATCAAATGTCTAAAAACAAACCTAAAAAATGATAGTGGTGTTATTTTTCCAACCATGGAATTTATGTGCTCTTTCAACAAGCGGTGGACTCCAAACCTCAGTTTTCCCAGCAATGGCTACACTCATTAGGGTGGGTTAGTTACAAACAATCAAAGCTTCCTTCTTCAGCAAGGACCCTAAGAGAAACAGACTTGAGGATCACATGCTTTAGTAAATGCTTTCACTAGTTTTGCCACTGCAAAAACTAATAGATTTGAAAAGCAGCGCAAAAAACTAAAATAAAAAAGGAAAGCAGAACCATGGCAGGTTACCATAACCTCAATTGGAAGACGATTTCAGCTGCAGCTGTCACTCCAGATGGAAGCTCCTTCCTGGGCAAATGAAGGCAGCCCTGGCATTCGGTGTGCTGCGCTAGCTAGCAAGTGCTTTTCTTTCGTGGCAACACAGAGATAGCCAACACTAACTGGCTGCTCCACTTGGCACGGCCAGCAGCATCTCTACCGCCCTGCGTCAGGGAGAACATTCTGTGTCCATGCCACCCTCCAGTCCACAGAGATCCTGAGTGTGCAAACACCTCACGCTCACCTCTGCAAACAACAGCAAAGAATTAGATAATCGAAGCAGAAGAGCTGAGGATGGCGTGCCTTAAACATCTGTATTTGGCAGAACTCAGCACCAAATCTTGTGAAACAACACGCTTGCCAGTAAAGTTCACAAGGTCAAAGCGATGCAATGTGGTATTCCTCCACAGCCAGGGAGGATTCCCGAGCCTCACCTGTCCCTTGTTGCCCTCCATTTTGAAAGAAGAGGACTATATACCTGAACATACTAATCTGCCATAGTCATAAAGGAAACTAAGACTCTGCCAGCTTTGAACAGTGCCCAAAGTGGGATAAGTCTAGTCAGATATCTGAGAGGAGAGTGGAGTAAGTCTATATTTGACCTTTGTAACCTAGACAACCAGTAGGCCATGGTTCAGGATCATTGGAGAACCCTGACAGTAGAACTACAGTAAAAGCCCATGAGTTTAAAATGATCTTTCACTTTTCACACCTTTGAATGAATTTTAATAGAATATAGTTTGGATTATTTTTGTACTGTGTCTTAAAACTCTAATTCCTTGTTTGGCTTATTTTCTTGATGGTCTGAAATAATTCCTGACTCAGATCATTCTCCATACATAAAAAAGCCAATATCCAGACATGGTGACATACACCTTTTATCTCAGGAGACAGAAGTAGGTGGATCTCCATGAGTTTGAGGTCAGCCTGGTTTACATAGTGAGTTCCAGGACAGCCAGGGCTACAAAGTATAACTGTCTTGGAGAAGAAGAAAGAAGAAAAGAGAAGGGAGGAAAAGGAGGAGAATTAAAAAAGGGGGGAGGAGAAGAAGGAGGAAGAGGAGAAGCAGCAACAGCTAATTTTCCTTATTCTATAACACATCTCTTTGAGTGGAATAAAAATTTCACTTGCTGACTCGCTTTTTGAAAGAGTACGAACCACCCTTGCCTTCTCCAGGTACTGTGGAAAATGCTTCTCTTACTGAGGAAGAACACAGGGTGGAGAATCAGTGTTGGACAGGGACAGAGCAAAAGCACTGTGCTCACTCAGGTGTGAAGTGGGGGTGTCAGATGATCTTGTCGTAAGAGCAGGTGCAGGTGGGGTGACACATCTCCGCACTCAGCACCAGCAAGAATAACTGTGATCAGCCAACTGGGGGTAAGAAAATCATGGTAACGACACCTATGCCAGTACCCAGGAGAGTAGAATGTTCTGGCATTACAGTCCTTTCAGAGGGGGCCCTGAAAGATAACAGAAAAATTAAATTGTAGTGGTAGAATCTGTAACCATCCATTTGATTTTCGATGGTTTTCATTTCTTGAGTGTCTGTCACGGGTCTGGTTGAGTATAAGGACTAGGAGGAGTTTGTGGTTAAAGTAAGTCTAGAGAATGTTGTCTCCTAGAATGGCTTTAAGGCCTGAAAATATTCACACACCCAACAACTCATACCACAAGTGTGCACCAAAACAGGAAGACTTCTAAAAAAAAAAAAAAAAAAATCAGCAATATGAATACAAAGTTTCTAAACTGTGTAAGACCTGCATTTCCTCTTTTTCTGCTGTGATTTTTTTAATGGACAAGTGTTTTCCTGTTAAGTTTTCTACTGACTCCAGAAATAACATCTAAGGATTTCAACAACTGGGTTCACCGTGACCCCTCTCCCTCTCATGAGGCATCTGCTCGTGAGGCATCTCCTGGGGTCTACACAGACATGGAAACTGAACAACTCTCTACTCAATGACAACTGGATCAGGGAAGAAATTAAGAAGGAAATTAAGGATTTCCTAAAATTCAGTGAAAATGAAGGCACAACTTTACCCAAACTTACGGGACACAATGAAAGCAGTGCTTGGAGGAAAGTTCATAGCACTAAGTGCCTTCATAAAGAGACTGGAGGTATCCTATACAAGCAACTTAATGGCATACCTGAAAGCCCTGCGGGTGGGGGGTGGGAAGGAGGGTAAAATGAGGATGTGAAGAGGGGAAGAGACACGGAGGAGGAGGCTACAATCAGGATGTAAAGTGAATAAATTATAATCAAACTCTAGCAAGATTTGTGAACGGGCTTCAGGAGTAGCTCAGGAGAGGAGTGTCTGTCTAGTACACACAAGAGCCTGGGCTTGAGACACAGAACCACAGGGAATAAGTTACTTAAGAGAACCCATTCAATGATATAAATCTGGAAAACGACTTAGTTTTCTCAGAAAATACTAGAGGGTATACTGTTCAGAGATGACCTAAGCAAGCA